GGATGGCTCATGAAATGCTGTCCTCGGAGAGAACCACCTAGCTGAGAACTTGGAGAAGGTGTCTTTCCAGGTGCTGGGGTGGGGAAAACCCCTCGCCAGTCCTCTGCTGCGGGTGGGAAAGCGGCTTTCGAAGCGCCTTTCCCATGCAGCGAGCGCCGTGGTTAGGGAGCCGGAGGAACGCCAAGGGTGCCCGGCTGGGCTGTCTTGGTTTTCTTTCGCCACGTTTGTCCTGCCAAGGAAATACCGAGCAGAACACGGGAAATGAACTTGGTGTTGGAAAGCCGCTAGTGAAACATCTGCGGGCCAGATTTACGGAGGGGAGATGGAGACTCGGGTTGGGTTGTGGCCAGCCGTGAACAGGTCAGGAGACTGTATTTCAATATCACAATGTAGAAATACTGGAGAGATTTCAAAGGAGAGCCACGAGAATGATGAGGTTTGGAGAACGGACTTTACGATGGGGCTGCCTGATTGTTTTTTGGCATCTCTTGCAACACGGGGGCTCTGCAGATAGGCCTGGAGAGCTTCACACTCGTTGAGAACGGGTGCAATTAGCAGGCTATAAAATTGTGCAAGGAATATCCTTTCTCACACGTGCCAGGGTGGGGTGTGGTGTATCACTGCAAAAAAAAAAAAAAAAAAAATCAACTCGTGATCGATAAACAGCAATTAAATCCACCTTCTGCTCAGTGGGGACGAGGGGTGGTTGTTAGGAGCTCTCTGTCCCCTTTGGACAAACGCCCTTCTGCTCCGTTTTCTTCTCGAGTGTGTGTCACTCGCCAGCCTCGAGTGTTTGGGTTTTGTAACCAGTTCACCGAAGCAGGTTTTGTCCCACGCTGTCGCAACACCGGTGCTCGGACCCCGCTGGGGCTGCAGAGTGGTCTCGGTGAATGGCAGGGATGCCTTCTGCATGCCGACAACGCTTATTTTGGCCACAGGAATGTCTATAAATAGCCCTGGGTCAGGGCTCGAGGCGTTTGCCGTGCCCCACACGAGTCCTGTGTCAGAGTCAGCCTTCAACCCTTCCTTCTGGTTTTGGAGCACAGAGGAGACGAGGGGAAAAAAATCTCTCCAGAAAACCCCGAGATGACCAATGTTGCTTTTGGTTAATGCTTTTTAACCTTATTGCTTGCCTCCTTCCTGATTTTCTTTTTTTTTCCCTCCTGGCTCCAGCCCAGGTATGTCAGGGAGCTGCTTCATGGACGCTTCATAAAGTTTGGTCACCACCTCCCAAACAGGTCCGTCTGCCACGCTGTGATTAGGGAGAGGTTGGTTTCAAATTATTAATTTGTGGTTTATAGCGATTTACAGGAGAGAAGTAAACGCTCCATATATATGCCATTTTTTCAGGGCAGCGACACGCCGCTCCTGCCTGTGCTGCACGATCGGGGTCAGATGCTGGGACCATCCATGGTCTGTGCCCCTGTCCCAAGATGCTTGTGGTCCTAATTCCTACAGGTTTGGGGCGAGGTGGATCTTGGAGCAGGCCAGCGGGCCTTTGGGAAATGGTGCAACTGGATTTTGTTCCCCAATTGGAAAAGCTATTTCATCATACCTTTCCTCCACGTGTGTCTTCACCCTCCTTCCCAAGCCGAACACGCCTCCCCATCAGCTTTTGCAAGTCTCAGCCTTTTGCCACCCTCGCCACGGGGATGACTCCACCCAGGAGATCCTGGGGCTTGTTCTGTCTTGTTTCCTCCCTGGACACGTGGGAGCTCGGCGGGGATTCACCTGGCCGATCTCTTTTTGGGGCCTGTTGTGCTCCAGCAAGCCGTGCCCGTCCTTTGCTCGGGGCTGCAAGCCGTTGGCCGCGTTTAATTTGGAGGGATGCTGGAAACGACCCCGTCCCTTGACGCAGCGCCATCCGGGGAACGTGTCGGCACATCTTTGCGCCTGCGGGTAGGAGCGAGCCCTCGGTGCGCTCCCCTGTGATCGACAGCTCCTGAAACGCCGTGACTCGGAGTGCCCGAATCCGAATCCGAAACCGCTGAGCGTGCGTTTCCCGCTCACAGGGTCCCACGTGCGCCGGGCTGGCGTGACCCCGTGACTGAGCGAGGCGCGGTCACACCAGCTCCTCCTCTGGCTCCTGATGTTGCAGTGGGGCAGACTTAAGCCTTTTGGGGCAGGTTTGCTCTGGACATCGCTATGGGGCTGGGTTTGTGCGGGGCAGGAGGCTGCGTTCTCCTTGCGGAGCAGCTAAAAGTAACACCAAGACTTCCCATAACGCAGAATGAGCCCTTCAAAAGCTAGGTCCCTTCGTGGGGGGAAGATTTGGCTTTTCTAGGGAAGAGAAATCTGTTTTTCAGAAATTCCCTGGTGCTTCTTGATGTTCGGAGACGTTGGGATGAGACAAGCACCCAGCTAAGCGTTTGCCTCCTCTGATGATGGGAGCAGCTCAGTCTGTAGCAACAGGGAGGGTTGGGAGCTGTGAACTGGCTGCAGGAAGGACTGTAACAAAGATCTAAGTTATTTTTGAAGAAGGAAGGAAAGAAAAAAAGAGGAAATGCTTCTATTTGCTCATCTCTTTCTCTGCCTAGTCTTGGAGCCTCTCTGTCACGGGGAATTCCTCCAGTCGGTGGCACAGACAGGCTCCAAGTTCCCTCCGAGATGACCTCCCCGAGCTGTGTGTGCAGAGCTGGCTGAGCCGCTCCTTGTTTTTGGTGGTAAGCTAATGTACAGCCTGGTTATTTTTGTTTTTCCCTAGCTGTCTCCCACAGCTGCCCTTCCTCAAGACAGCACAGAGCCTGCAGAAACACCCCGGACAGAAACCCTCCTCCAAGGGTATCCCAGCTCTCTGCAGAGGCAACAGCCTGGTCGGGAGAAGCTGGGAATTTCTGCCTTCAAGCCCTGCCTCACGTCCCGTATGGCAGCGGCTTTGCTTTCTGCCTCCGTTTCTCCAAATTGGGATATTTTAGTGAGCTCCGCACAGCTCTTGGAGAGCATCCCCTGTGGCTCCGTTTGTCCATTGCCGGAGGGATACGGCTCTAAATTACGACTTTGTTTCTTCCTCTAGTATCCTCGCTCATGGGAGTGAGCTTAAAACACTGGCTGCAGGTATCTTCTGAAATAGTTCATGAATAATGGGATTTTAGGGCATTCTTCTCCCTACTTGGGAGAAGAATATTAATAGTTTAAAACTTCTAGAACAGCTTCCTCCCCAAAACAGATAAGAGCGGCTGAGCTGCAATGCTTCGGGTCTCGCCAGGGTATCATGAAAAAGTCTGCATCGCCGGAGCACCCGTGGGTGGCTCTGCAAACAAAACGTTATTACGTATTTTCTTCCCCAGGGGATTTACCTTCTGGACTAGACGGGACAGGGACAGACTGAACTGCGCTGTGCGATCGGATGAGGGAATTTGGCCACGATTACTCTGGCTCAGCAGTTCTTTGCAACGTAAGGGCTGGGACCTGCTCCATGCAGGGACACGCCTGGCTCTCCCATCTTACCCAAGAGCTCCAGAGAGAGTCAAGGTCTTCAAGCCAGGAGGGTGCTGGAGCTAGATATATTAATATTTTTAAAAAAGTTGTTGGGAACAATTCCCCAGCGGCCGTGAGGTGTTCCCTGTCCCCTTGATAACTTTTACATCGAGACTGGATGATTTTTCTAAAGGAGCTTCTCTGGCCTCAGTAATAATTCAGGAGGTGAAACCAGTTTCTGGGGACAGGTCAGACTTGACAAGCACAATACCATCAAGTTCGTGTTTTTTAGATCTACCAGCTAACTGGTGAGGTTTAGCAAAGACCTGTTGGGTCACCAAAATAATATACGTACGGGTGATGCGTTGTCATGGCTGAGCTGAACCACGCTGGCTTTGTCGCCCGCTAGAGCAAATAAACGTGGCATGTACAGCTGAGATGACATCCTGGGTGAGTAATCTCCTGCCTGAATGCCAAGTATGTGCGAGACGGGGACCTAAATAGACCTGTAAGCTCTAGGGGCAGGAGGAGGCCGGTGGGTCAGCGGGGAAGGGATATAGGATTTGAGCGTAAGGGGATTTCTAGCAGGTTGTGCAGAAGCAGAAAAGCAATTTACGCTGTTTCGAGCCTCCAAGGGTGTTGTCAGCGGAGCATGGGGCCAGCACTGGCGTCAGAGCTAACTTTGCAGCCGCGAACGGGTTGACCGAGGATGAGTCAAGCTGTCCTGACTTTTGAGAGAGCGGCAGCTATGAGACGTGACGTGCCGTAGCGATGTAGCCTCGCCCCAGCGGAGGCAAACGAAATCGCAATTAATTGAGCTGCCTGTGTCCCATATGCACGTGCTTCCGTCCGTACCTGTGCTGCTCTCTGCACCCTCCGAGTGCCCGCTGCTGTGCGGCCAGGCAGTCCCTGCCAGCCTGCGTTTGAAAGCCTGGGGCAGTTCTCAGCTGCCTGGCGTCGATACCCAGCATCGCGACGGTTACTTGAGCCACCTGTAACAAGAAAACCTCTGTCTCTTCCCGAGACGCTGAAACTGCGCTGAGTTTTCGCACAGATTTAGCACCGAGCGTGCCTGCCTCAAGGATGAGGCTCCTGGGCTCGGAGCATCATTTATACCTGGAAACAACGTCTCTCCCCAACCAGGGTTTCCCGTGGCAAGACCCTGAAACCGAGGAGGGGACTCTCCCATGGCAGAGCTAGAAACAGAGCCCAGAGCCCTGATTT